AACATTGCCTGTATATGAAGCTGAAGAGATTTTAAAAGAACATAATCATGAACTTTTATTGCTGCCACCGTATCATTGTGACTTAAACCCAATAGAGATGGTTTGGAGTCAAGCAAAAAGAAAAATTGCAAGCAGAAACATTGGAATACCAGGAAAGGAAATGGAAAACTTAATAATAGAGTGTTTTAACTTAATTACTCCTAGTGACTGGAAGAAATACACTGATCATGTTTTAAATGTCGAAAATGATTACAAATTAAAAGATGGCATTGTTGAAAACGAACTTGAAAAATTTATTATATCTGTTGGTGCAGACAGTAGTGAAGAGAGTGACTCTGATGATTCCTTGTCATTGTTATCAGGTGTAGAATATTTAGAAACAGATTTTGACTATGAATCAGACTAAAGTATTTTTAGTCTGATTCATAGTCAAAATCTTATCTTAAATTTTCTATTGTGATTAACATGATGATTTTGTGACACCTGTATTATGTAATTTATCCATGGCACTTAATTGTAACAAAAATAAATGTTTTTTTTATTGTAATCTGGTGTTTATATTGACTAATTTAATTTGATAGATAGTGGTTCTGGATCAGAGCAAAAGGTTGTGATGAAAATCCCTTAGGAGACATGTATGTGTTATGAACACATTATAAATATAAGGGCCAGAAATCAAAATTGGCTAACATCACATTTATTAAAAAAATGTGGCCAGAGTCGCCCATATTCATTACAAAAAAACAAAGAAGTCGTTGCAAAAAACACCCTTTTAATTAATGACAAATATGAATTTTTAATATTATAAGTGCTGTTAGCCAATAGGTATAACGAATGGGTTAAAAAAAAGATTCGATTTAGTCCGTCAGTCAGATAATAGAAAAATATTGGATACGTATTTTTTTTCGCTTTAATTTAACAACAAATGGCTTAAGAGGTACTATGCGACGACTTCAAATATGCTTTGCAACAATGTTACTTTAATACAGTTTATCGATACGAAATCAAGTGTCAAAATGGAGTCCAGTGGAGAATGCCGATATTGACATTTCGAAATTGCTCATCATTGATAGAGAATACGAAATAGTGATTTTGACACAATCAAAGTGTCTATTTTTTACGGTGATGACGATTCTTGGTTGTCAGTTGAGTTAGTGAATAGGCCTACTGATATGCTGTTAACTGTACAATTAAGAACAGTCACGCTTTAGTCAAATGTTCCAAAACAAATAATTTTAATTGATATCTAAATGTTAAGATTAAATATAATTAATAAAAGTATCAAAATTATTTTGCAGTACTACATTCAGTGTTTACTGCTTAAGAATTTTTGAAATTGCCGCCCTTTTCTTGTGACACGTTTCGCTTGCCAGACTCTATTTAAAAATAATGCTTTTTGCTACAATGCTAATTATTGTGGTTATTACACCCAAGAAATTGAATTTAAAAATAAAATAATTATCAAAAACAACTGAACATATTAGGAAACATATTTAACACAATACTAGTTATTGGATTTATTATTATAACAAATAAAAAAAATATTTTCCAGCTACGATACTAATCACTGCAGTTGTCACAAACAAAATCATCACGTTCGAATGCTGAACACTCTTCATGACACCACGTCATTATATCCAGTTTTCCGTTGGCTGATCATCTTCTTCGATGTACATTTCACCACAGAAAATGCTCCTTACATTATCAAATTTCTTTACTTTCTTATTCTTGTTATTCTCTTTTGCAGTCTTGTGTTTTGTAGCAGAGATAACTGGCTAAACAGTATTTTTGTAAGAATCTTTTTAACAGTCTTTTGTTTGTTCAGTTGAAACAACATCTAGTGACTTCCTGCGAGCGTTTCTCGCTTTTTCATATTTTTGTTTCTGATCCTCCTTTACTTGACAAGAGCCTAGATCTCTAGCTTTCGTTTACGTTGTTATTGGTTTAGCAGGCTGGGGAATAGGTCATAAAACTGAAGGATTGTAGTAGTCTTTAGAACATTCAGGTATTGTTGAAGCGGTGGAAAAATCATTGACGTGGTCTTCTTTTGTAGTTTCAGATTACATGGGAGTATAAGGACGATCTTCAATGGTTCGGATGAAGTGGCGGGAACACCATCATCCATTTTGGAGATTTAGATAACTCTCGTCACATACGTCAATTCTGGAGTTCTTAAGGTAAAGTTAATATGAAGTGATAAAAATCTTTGCAGCCAGTCTTCTCCTGCTTTATCATGTTTATTCCAGCTCTCGGGATACTGTAAATGGTTGCATTATGCATACTGAAATGCTAGACTCATAAATTCGTCCCGAGTAAGGCCAAAAAATACTGCGTCCATATATGTAACCATTTCATTTTCTTGATCCTCCGTGAATATAGGATGAAATCGATCTAACTGTGAAGAAGCAATTCCACTTTTGACATGTCGATATAGTGTAGAATAAGCTAACCCGTATTTTTATGCCGTCCCTTTAATCGATTCTCCCGCAAAACACAAATTTATAGCGGCCTGCATTTTTTTTATATTTATTCACCATCTGCAATAATAAAAAACGCGATAAATTATACAATTCCATAAAACTGTATAACTTATCATGACCGGCCAAAGTGAATACGGTTTCCACTTTGCCCTATCCGCTTTGCCCATTAAGTACATTTTTGAGGTTATCCCAAATTACTAAAAAACCAGTGCACTAAAACTCGTCGTCTTCCGATAGTTGGAAGCTACATAAACATGCATCAAATCCTACTCATAACAAAGAACACGTCACAAATAGTATTATAGTTATAAACGAAACACTTACCTTTTTAAATTAATATTTTTTTGGAGCGGCAACGGGTGAACATTAGTACGACAACGCGGCCACGGGCCAACGAACAATTTTGGGAGTTATAGACAATATTCGCTTTGCCGGGGGTATTCACTTTACCGGGTTTCCCCTACTAATACTTCGTAAACTTGCTCTTTAAAAATAACGTAATCAATTCGCAATGCTATAAATGCTATAGACAAATTATTATAGGAAATAAAATACGCTAACATAGCATAGAGCTACAATGACCTAAAACCTTTATTGTCATCTGTTGTAGGTATTTGATTATATTGTTTTAATTTGACTGATCTCTATTACTCTATGCTGAGACTGCGCTGTATTTAACATTGAATTCAACTTTCATTTTATTGTAGAATAGCACTGCAGGAGAAACTAAAATACCCTAGAGATAAAAAAATACATGGAATGAATACAGAAAAGCTCTAGATGTAAAAGTGAATAAAAGGTTGAAAATTCGTATCGGCATTAGGAAAATATTACAATGGAAAACCTTTGCGACAAATATTCATATTTTTTTGCGCAATACGCACAATACATACTGTTGTTAAAATTTTGGTCTGTGATTTTGGTTGAAATCAGAAAGCTTATTAATTTACACTTGTCTATGGTGCGCTGTGTTGTCGATGCTATAGTTCTATACCGTGTTGTATGGCTTATACTAACTTTTTTTATAGAAACTATGACCGCCGTTCCAGCGTGTGTGTTATGATCACATTTTAACTAAAGTCTTATGCAAATAATAATTCTGTGTAAACGGGCTGCTGGGGGAGCTACTATCAGAGCAATGCATTAAAATTAATATAAATAATTGCAAAAAATATAGGTGATACAGTACGGAATAATTAAAAATAAGTAATATACAAGATAAAGTAATCAGTACACAATATTCCTATGAGTTATTGTTTATAGAATATATTTATGTAGAAAAATATGGTCTTATATTTGGTCAATTTTGCTGGAAAATATTTTTAATGAAAAAATATTAAAAAATCCACTTTCACCCTATCCCTAAATATTTTCCAGTACAGTGCAAACTATGGCTATAAACTTGGACGTACTGACCAAAACAAGAATAGGTATGACATTATGAATGCAAAATTTACCATATAGGTATAATAATTAAAACAACTTTACATCTTTATCGAAAGTTTAAAATATTTGCAAAAATATTTCTTTCGGCTGTTTGGATGGATTACCTGAAAATAAGCACTGAAGTAGCGAAAAAGTAGGAAATGTTTGAAGAATTTGTCAGTTCTGTAAGGTCCTGGGTAGCTCAGTGGCACGAGCAGTCGCCCGGATTGCGAAAGTTCGTTGGCTCGTATCTCATCTCAGAGTACCAGGGACAAGAATTTTTTTTTAAGCATATTTCATTCAGAATAGAAAACTATGATTTTGAAATTTATATTTATCTAAAATTGATAATTTCATAAAAATATATCTATTTATTTAGAGTAAGTTTATTATAAGTAGCAAAACACATTGCTTATTTTCATTGTTTATTTCCTACGAGAATATAATTTTTTATTAAATACGATAAAATACAATATCAATTAAATTATACATCAATAGGATGTATCCATAAAAGGGTAAGAGACTTTTTAATATTAATAGTGTAAGTGTGTACACGTCTGGTAAGACAAATCTGTCAAATTATCCCGCTCAATTATAAACCAAAACCCAAGGTAAAGTTTGAAATTTCATTGCGGAAATTTGATTTATTGTTATAAGCTGACGTGTCTAAAAACTTTATAATATTGTAATATTTTTAAATATATTGCTATAAAAAAATTAAAAAATCATACGCGGAAATTTTTGATTGCAAGAGTCACCATCTAGTGAGGCGATTTTTTGTGCTTTTTAATTTTTTCTTAAAACACTTCATTTCAGATTCAGTACCATGAGGACACGCCTTTTTGTCGACCTTAGACGGCAAACTGGTAATTAGCGTTGGTAACACTTGTGCTACGATTTTTTTTACCTTTTAGTGTAAATTTTTATTTATTATATAGTCTAAAATATGATTGAAAGCTTATTTGTAGTTTCAAGTAATTGTTTATAGTGTATCTCTATATTTTTTACTAAGTGTTATGCTCTTATTTTCTTTGCTAAACTAAACATGAAACAAACTGGAAAACAAACAAGCGTTGTCTATGGTTTAGTTATATTTTCGGTGTGGTGGCCGATTTACCAATTTTCCCTTTCTAATTGCTGAATATAGGCGGGAACTCGCTTGCAATAAGAAATCATAACCAAAAATGAGTGTCGAGGAAGATGTTATGAAAATACAAAAGAAATTAATTAAAATGACATCGGATGATGGCACCGTAAGTTTTGCTGCTATAGTTATTTATGAAAATTTGTGAAGAGTTCTTTCGCCGCCAATTATGTATTTATCAACATAAACAATTTCAAAACTATTATATATGTCAATTTTACTACAAATCTTACGTTTCTTAAACCCCCACGAAGCCTTCTGAGAATAAACGTTATTTTTGTTTTAGGGCCAAGAAGAAGCTTTAGAGCTTTTAAAAACACTGCAAACTATGGCTATAAACTTGGACGTACTGACCAAAACAAGAATAGGTATGACAGTAAACGCTTTGCGTAAGTCAAGTAAGGATGAAGAAGTCATTTCTTTGTGTAAAACTCTGATAAAAAATTGGAAGAAGTTTCTATCAACACCAACTACACCATCAAAAGATAATGGAGGCTCATCAAAATCCAAAAAGGAAGGTAAAGATAAAGAAAAGAAAGATGATAAAGAGAAAGATAAGAAATTACCTGCATCTTTCCCCCCACAGTCAAACACAACTGATGCTGTACGGCTAAAGTGTCGTGAACTCCTGACTCAAGCTATGAAAGTTGATGGTGAGAATCCTAATGCTTGTGCTTCACCTGAGGAACTTGCAGAGGAACTTGAGGAATGTATCTATGCTGAATTCAAGAACACTGATATGAGATATAAAAACAGGGTGCGATCTCGTGTGGCAAACTTGAAAGATCCAAAGAATCCTACTTTAAGAACAAATTACCTTAATGGTGTGATCTCAGCATCGAGACTTGCAAAAATGACCCCTGAGGAGATGGCCAGTGATGAAATGAAAAAATTGAGAGAGAAATTTATTAAAGAGGCTATTGATGATGCTCAATTAGCTACAGTGCAGGGAACCAAAACTGAAATGCTTAAATGTGGTAAATGTAAAAAGAAGAATTGTACATACAACCAGCTACAAACCAGGAGTTCTGATGAACCCATGACCACATTTGTTCTTTGCAACGAATGTGGCAATCGTTGGAAATTCTGCTAAGACTGCTTTTAAAGCCTAGTTTAAAATTAGTGTGTCTATCTTTATGACAGATACCATATTGTATCAAGTTAATGTAATACCATTTACTAAGATGAATTAAGATATTTTGTTCAGCTGTTAACTGCATTGACCTTTCTCTACTGTCATTGGATGTGGAATTGTTTTAAGTAGTGGAGGTTTCCTAAGTTTTACATAATAAATTAATCTGCTTTAAGTGACATAGTAATTTCATTGAATACTTTACCTTTATCACATCTTTAACTTACAGGAAGGTTAAATTACCATTAAAACTCTCATTAATTCGCATATTTATATTTTCAATTCAATTTTAATAACAAGAGGAATGTGTCCTTTAGGACAGAGTAGTGTAATATATTTATTAACTGGCACATAATGGTTTCTTTAACATTCACAATAAAACTATTTTTTTTTTATCTGTTAGGTACATAAAATTTTAATTTTGAATTATGCAAAGCAATATAATTATTAATGGTACAATTTAATAAGTGGTATTTTGAATAACATAACACTAATAATATGTATTATTGTGTGCAGTTTGTTTTATATAAAATTTGAAAGTATATTGCAGAGTCTCTGATATAATTTTATTGTCTGTTTATTATCTTTATGGACTTAAAATCATAATAAGCAGTTACTTAAAATTTTACAGTTATTTAAATTTGATTATACATTGAATAAAAAGTGTTTTTAATGTTATCTTTTATAGGTGTATAAAATAGTAAAATAGTATGGTAACATATTTGCCATATTTCCCAAAAAAATTTAGACTAGTTTGGAATAAATATTCTATCACACCACATATCAGCATTTGGGAAAGCTTTTATAAAGGGAATGTTTCTATATAATTTTAAAAGTATATCTCTTAAAAAACCGATCATGACTCCCATCGGATTATTGTAATAAAGAGTTAATGTTAAAATAAACCTTAATTTCTATTTAGATGCACTCATTAAGATTAATCTGAAATGGCCAAAACTGTTAATAATCTAATATGGCAAGCTACACTTTGGTGAATATCAACACATTTGATTTGGCTTACACTAAATAATAATTATGTTCATCTGTTAATATATCTCAATAGATACCTAATTTAATTTATCCTACGATACTAAAATCCTTATATCTAATTGCTTATTCTACCATGAGTTCACCTGTTTGTATCTTTACAAATAGCTTTTCTTCATTGCTTTTAGTATTTGCAAATTCCAAATCTAATTTGAGATCCGTAGACGATTCTTCGTCGTCTACTTTCGCTATAGTGAAGCTGACGTCTTTGTTAGCCACATAACATTCGGGCGTCAAATTCTTTTGATAATGGAAATGAGTTTTCATGTGCTCCCGTAGGAAATGTGATTGTACAACGACCAAGTCACAATAGGAGCATTTATGATGTCCTGCATTCACAATATTAGCGTCATCATGCCTTTTATAGTGATTATTCAAAGCGTCCAGTCGTTGATTAGTATATGGGCATAATAAACATATATGTAATTTTCTATCTTTTGTGGGTGATGCTTCAGATGGAGAAATTTGTTCCTTGCCATTTATAGAACGTCTTCGCTGCAAAAGACGAAGCGTTTGTTGGTCGCGTATTGAAAACTGCTGGAAATCGCTTTTTGGCACTGCCCTAGGCATTGTTTTAATTGCTAATTTGATGTTGTCACTATCTTCGTCTTTGTTTTCATTAGTTTCAGATTCTACAAACCCGTTACTGATCTTTTTTCTTTCAGCTTGTGCTTCATCATTCATTTGATGCTTTCTCATATGTTGAACGTAATTGGCGTAATACTTGACAGAGTAATCACAAAGTTCACATTTATATCTTTGCTTAGAACCATGAAGTGATAGATGTATTTTATACTGTTCCCTCTTTTCAAAAGCCGAGGGACATTTGTGGCACTTGTATCTTTTCTCTTTCTGACGACCGTTTTTTAAATAAGTTGGATAAATAAATTCAGGATTTCCATGCATTAAATACCCAAATTGGGGATCAGCTTGCAATACTGGCGGGAAATGATCGTTTGGCTTTACTAACTTATCTTTATCGTTAAGTACTCGTTTTTGAGCTTCAGTCTTTCTTTGAAATAGATCAGTTCCGGAAATTGGAATATTTTTGTAATCCATGTCTTCTCCCGATTCGTAGTCGCATGTCGTCGTTTTTCCTTCGTTCTCATGTAACAATTCATGTTTGGCCAGATTGCCTAAATTTTTCACAGAATAACTACACTTTTTGCATTTATGTTCACCATCTCCACCGTGCAATCCCAAATGATAGTTAAGCGCTGAACTTTTAAAGAATTTGGCTGGACACTCTTTACAATTATATTGTTTTGGTGTCTGTTTTGTATCATGAGGTCGCTTATTACTAGAAGATTCACATTCATAATTTTTATTAGGACACAAAACCACCCATGTTATTTCAGAAGTAGTAGGACAATGGAAAAGTTCTAAGTTGGGTTGCCTATGAGCACCATGAGAATTATGTACGAATTTCAGCATTTTCGTTTTAGTGTGATATTCGTCGCTGTGAACAGTGACATGGGCAGCTAAATCGTTTTCTTCCGGAACGGAAAATTCACACCGTTTACATTTATTTGGAAATGAAGAATCGTGAAACTTATCATGAATTTTGAGTTCTTCATCAGTAAAAAATCGAGCTGGACACATCTGACAAAAGTATAAAATTTTGGTTTCGTTATTTTCATTTACTATCTTCTCCTCTTTAGGTATACCTTCAGAAGCAACAGATTTCTCTAATTCAATAACTTTTCGCAGTTTGGCTATTTGTTCTTCGTCTGGTATGTCAGGCTCCACAGGACAGTAAATACGACCATATATTTCACTATGGGTTTTGGAATGCTCTGCTAATCTTATTGCGCTGTCACAGGTAAATTTGCATTCTAAACACTTATAAATTGTGATATCGCTATTCTCAAAAACAATGCAGTGTATTTTCTCGTGGTTCGGTATTTTACACTTTTGTGAGTTCACATAAGAACAGTAGCGACATTTGTACATTTTATGGAATTCATTTTTGGCCGATACCCAGACAAACGAAATTTCATCAAGATTCATCGAGTATTCTATTTTAATATCTGATTTTGCTTCTAATTCAGCTTCCGATTCAATTTTTTTCGGCAGTATGCCGTGCACTCTTAAGTGTTGATGGAGAAGATGTCTTTTAGAAACGCTATAATTGCACTCTGGACATTTGTATGGGGTATCTGCAGGAAGTCGATGAAATTGTTCATGATACATGTATTGTGACTTGCTGTTGGTTTCGTAAGGGCATTCTGTGCACTTGTGTCGTTTTGTTGATAAACTACTCGTAGCGATGCCCCCTAGCTCCGAAGGTGGAGATTTGCGGCCCATTGCTTTGGCAATGTATTCTTCTGGTTCAGAAACTCCGTGTAAAAGTAAATGTTGTATCAATTCGTGTTCGTCCTTAACAAAGTAGGGACAGAAGAAACATTTGAATATTGATAGAGGTGACGGCTGATGCTGCTGGATATGTGAGAACATTAACTTTTTATCAGTAGTCTTGAAGGGGCATTTGTTACAGGCGTCGCTGGAGATTTCGTTCAGTTCGTTCAGAGGTATAGTCGTGTCTGGTTTTGGCTTGACTGTTGTTATAACTTTTATGACTCCTTCGTGTTTTAAGCGACAATGTCTCTGTAAAGTTAAATAAAAGAATCATTTATAAAAAATGTATATCTGGAAATAGTATATAAAATTTTGTTTACTATTTTTGAGAAAATTTGATATGAGGGTAAAAGGGACATGTGTCATAAAATTTTGCTATTACATTATTTACAATCAATCAATCTGCTTTTACGATATAGGGTTTACTTTTACGATATTCTTAGTTTCCTCAAAGAAAAATGGTTAAATGCATTTGTTTTACTTTATGTTACGGCTGTTTTCAGAATGTTTTTGTGTATCATATTAGTTAGATAAATTTTTACCTGTATTACATGTTTCCAGTTTGACAGTTGATTACAGTGCCCACAACGATACGCCAGGTCAGCTGGATCCGGAAGGTTTTCTGGCTTCTTTCCTATTTTGATATCGTCTTGGTTTCCTTCTGCGCGGGCGTGCTCACGTACATGTTCCAATAAAGCCTCTTTGGACGAATCTCTGTAAAAGATAATTTGAAAGTGAAGTAACATTTATTACGTGTACCTACCAAAAGGAAGTGCATCAACAACCCTTTTCGATGGTGAACAAAAATATGTAATTATTATCATTAGCTTATAAATACTATAAAATTTATTTGAATAGTACTGCAGATGTTTTATAATTATCTCAATTAAGGTAATAAGAGCGATTATTATATTTTAGTAGCTGTTACATTATTACAAATTTTTGCGGTATTATTTACATTGATAAAAATAAACATACTAACCTATAATTGCATTTTTTGCACTTCCATAATGTCTTCTTGGGTTTCTTCATGTCGAAGTTGGTGCCCATCATATCGTAATTTTGATCATTGCCATAAGTTTGTAAATTAAGTGGTTGCATCTCTACTCCCTGGCTGATATTATCTGTTACTTCGTTTAAAGACTCTTCAATTTCCATTGACGCGTCAGCTGTTGTATTTAAATCTATGTAGTGGAAAGTATTTTCGCCGTTCTCGTTTAACGTAGACATTGCTAAGAATTTATTGTATTTACTGTAATTTCTTCGGCCAGTTTCATCTGTCATGAGCACTTTCGCTTCGTTATGTTCTGGATCTCGGGCTGACTTTAACTTAATATGCTTGGTAATATCCCAGCGCCAGTTAGATTTATACTTGCAGAGGGAACATTCGAATGGCTTTTTGTTCAAATGTCCCACAATATGTACGTGGAATCTCGACGCCGTCGAAGCCCAAAATGGACAATGTGGACATTTGAAAACTTTCTTTCCCATTGCTTGACTAGGCGATAAATTCATACTTTCGTTGTCATCTGCAGTTTCTGTGTCGTATGTTCTAGTCATTTCCGGAAGAGTGGAATCGTCGTTAATATTAATGTCTAGAGGAGTGTCGTACTTATTTGCATTGTGACTGATATTGTTCCAAACAAAAACTACATTTTCCATAGGATGCGGTTCACTCTCTTTCTCTAGTGTTGAAATCTCGCCCTCATTACTGTCTTGACTTTTTATTTCCGAAGCAATATCTCCATTTTTCTCGCTCTTCCTGCAGGTTTGCATGTGAATATATAAGTCTGCACTGGATTTGCATCTGTGTCTGCAATTTTGACAACGAGTCGAACTCAGACTCGGAAGCAATGTGTTAGTAGATGTTCGGTTTAATTGAGCAGTACAGTTTTTCTCGTGTACGGAATGTTCTGATAGACATTTACTTTCAAAACCACAATTTTTACAGATCAGAGATCCATCTTCTCCTGTCTCTGTTAACAATCTCTCTTTGAGTTTATCGAAAAATGAATTGTTTTTCTTACGACCAGGCGCTTCTTTATTGCTCGCGGGAATGTTATTTACGGGTATAAGGCTAATATCGACTGGTAAGTTCTCGAATTTACTACCTTTGTTAAAGTCTGTCGATTCTGTAGTGGGAGTTTCTTTAAATTTCTTCGCTGGTGGTTCACCATTAGGCATTTTGTTTTGAGGCGTTGATGCATGCAACGGTATGAGTGGTGGTGGTGGTCTGGGAGTTTTTCGGTTTTGTTTTTGAGATTTGGCGTCATCTGCAGTAGTGTTGGGAGACAGCTGATTCTGTACGTCTTGTACCAGCTCCTCTTGAATTGTATCTCTTCTGGCAGCCTTGTCCGATGCGGCATCGGCGTCGTTGGAATCGCTGTGGCAGCTGACAATATCTTTTTCGGCATTTTGCATATCCTGGAAAACAGAAAATAAAGAGTGTTAAAAATAATATATGTAAAATCACAAAAATACCTAGTAGGGCTCTTATAATTATGTAGGAATTAAAACAAATCAATAAATTTTGATCTATTCACAAGTATACTCCGAAAAAGTATTTCTAGATATTTCTCATTTAAATAATACGCCAATTTTTTTTTAAATATTATAACTCTCCTCAATTTTGCCTTTTCTTTGTTTTGATTATAATATACTACTTTACATAACAGCTGATTATTAATTAATTCCTAAGTGAATGTGTTGTCATGTCTTCTTTCAATGCTTAGTGACTTAAATTATCATATTCAAAATGGATTCACTCGAAGAGCTAATTTATATATTCTCCTACATGTCGAGGTTTTATTGAGTATTTATTATTTTAGGGTACCCGATTATTGAACTTTCTTTATCAAAATCCATAGTTTTCATTGTGCCTCATTACCGTGAACGCAATTTTTTTTGTTATGATTTGAAAACACTTCTTAATCGTCGTAGCAGTTGAAAAGTAATATTTAATTTTTACTACGAGCAGCAATTAGACATGCCATTTAAATGTACCGTCGAATGCACGTAGAGTTTCTACAATCAATCAAATATCTCCAATCCATTTTAATCCTTAAATGTTTGATGTTTAAGTCCGAAATTTGGTGCAGAAGTTGATCGTAACTCAATGTGCTACTGTGTGTACTAATAATTCTACGTAACCACTATATTTCAAAGCAAATTGGTCATGAATGTGCAAAAAATAAGTAGGGTTAGTTCGGGACTTATAAATTATAAAGAATACTAAAATAAATTCTAAATTATATTATTTTAAAAATGTATAGCAATTTCATAATACTGGTATATATTACCGTGCGGTTTAAAGAATAAAATATCGTATGTAGATAAATACTAAACTACTAAATAAAAGCAAGGAGCAAATTCAAGTGTAGGCAACTACTGAAAATATTTTATGGATAAGAAGAGGTACGAAAATACAAAAAAAAAGAAAACGTTAAAAAAAACCGTTCTTTTCTTAGTTTTAATGCAATTTTTTTATGAAAACATAAATTGGTAGCTATTATTTTAAAAGTTCCAACCGGTCTCTACATAGCATATAGTATTTGTCTTTACATAGGTACCTAATTTTATCTTAATATGATTAATAGGAAAGTCGTTAAGGACGTCATTAACCAAAATTACCTTGCCTTTTATTTTATCAGATGATAATTCAATACTAATATTATAAATAGGAAAAATTTTATTGTTTGGCAGCATTGTATAGGATTCGAAACTGCTGGACCAATAAAAAAAAATATTTAGGATTACACGGGAGTAGTCGCAGAAAAACCGTGGATAATATTTTGAAAGAAAATACCAATAGACTTTTATACCTAATTTCGCAGAGATGGGTGAACGGACTCGACTGTGTTAAAAGACAGTGTACTCCTTAATGTTACATTTATAATGCACTAGATGGCGCGTATCGAATATAGTCTAAAGAAAACAAATAAAATTGCGTAAGGTGTGACGTCACGTTTTGTTTCAATATCAATAGATGACGCTAGAGATTTAACATTATTATTTTAACGTTTTTTATCCCTTTCTTTAAATGTTTTTTTGCGTTTAGAACATATAAATATTAAAATTACAATCAATGAATTTAGCTTACTTAGTTTGCTGAATAAATTTACATATCTAGCTTTTTATTGAAACAAATAGAGTTGTTTTAAATAAAAAAAAAGTATTCGAACTAAATCCAGAGTGGAGTACATTAATGATATTGCATTATAAGCGCTTTATATATCGTTATGAATTAAATTAGTAATTGTCGTCAATAATTATTAAAACACATCAAATTATAAAAAGCGCCATCCATTGCACAAGTAAAACTAATTAGAGCACGATTTATAACTTGTTTAAAATAATGACAGTTGTTGGATCACATTTTTAGTTTTACCTAATGTAGAGTCACATACAATTGTTCCCATACGGTACGGATACGCAATACTAAAGTCTCAAAAATGTTTTTAAAGTATCCTAGATTCATAAAAATGACGATTAATTTATATAATTAATTTTGTGGAAAAGCAAAGGTTGACTAAAACTAAGCTCTATCTGCCAACTGACTACGCAACAGTATATTTAGATAAACGGTGCCTTAATAGAAAACTTTTTGATAACGTGCATAGGTAATCCAACATTAAGCTTAGGTAAGAAACTGATAGTAAATAAAGATTGAACTAAAGTCGACTAAATTTAACCCAGTAATAGGTGGTATGTTATAATGTTTCGTGCAACACAAGCGATCGTGGGGACGGCATGCACAGATGCCAACATGATGAGAGGATGCGGGGGATGGACGCGCGGGGTGCGTTAGTAGAGTTAAGTGCCGCTCTTGTGATAGCAACGTGTGACGTCACCGCACGGCCGACCCCCGCACCACTCGTACGCGACTCACCGAAGCCGAGAAAGAGGATCGCGAATCGCCGCTCCCTTCCTCCTTCAGGATGACAGCGTCCGCCATGTCACTGGCACCCACCCGATTGCGACGGCGACTCGCCGCCGATTGGCCCACGGGCGGCGTGTGATGATTCAACTCATGCAACGTCAGACTCTGCTTGATATCCGCGGTGAAGTTGCACATGAAGCACTTGAAGTTTCCATTGCCGCCGTGGTTCTTCATGTGGCGATCTAGATTCCACTTATACGGCGAGCGAAAATCACATATAGTGCATTTAATCATCGGCATTGAGTGATATTTCACATGTTTCGTAAATCTGGCCTTTATATGGGTCACGTAGTTGCATTTGTTACATGAAAAATATTTGCCCTTATTCTTTAGCGCTGCTTCTAGAACGGCGTCACTGATCTTATCGCTATCAATGTTCGCTTCAGCGGAACGCTCGTATGACTCTTCGTTGCAGTCATCTACATCTATTTCAATGTCATCACATTCTTCGACTTCCTCGAGCAAATCTTCGATTCGCTCTAACGGTTCTAAAGTGTTAGGAACGGTTGCGGGTAGTTCCGTATCCATTTTGGTGGACATCGCAGAAGTTGACGTGGCGTGAACCATTTTTATATGTCTTGTAAGTTTCTGGTGATGCCTCGAGGCATAAACACAATGTGGACAGTCATATATTTTAAACTTTTCGAAATGAACGTCACGTATGTGCACTAAATAAACGCGCGGGTTCTGCGTGAAAAACTTGCACTTGACACAGTTATAATTCCGCCTTATCTTGCACTGTGGTAAGTCTCCGCACTCCTCCGCAGCATCCGAGGAAGCCTCCGATGAAGTATCACCACACAATCGTCCTTCGAAGGGGCGCACGAGAGACACGACCTCACCGACGCTGTAGTTCGGTGAGAACATCTGCTGTAGCATAGTCCGCTGGAACAAAATAATAGTCGATGTCGGTTAAACGTTCGAGGAGGGCGCGCGTTGCGATGCCCCTCGGGTGCGAGGGGTCGGGCCGCGTGTCGCGATCGCGCTAGCACTGCGGAGGGTACGTGTGCGCTGCGCGAGAGCGTCACCGGCTGAATGAGGCGACGAGCCGCGGTGGCAGGCGGACCGGCCAGCGTCGGTGGCAACGCGAGGGCCCGAGGGCGTGGGCGCGGGACGGGCGGAGGTTCGGTACGATGCTTCGCTGTTGATGTTTTTCGTCCTCCTCGACTTAGACGGTAAGGGGAGCCGACGCGGCGGGCGACCTCCACTCGGCTACGGTCTAATGAAATCGGAGACTTTATTTCGTGCTCACCATTAGTTATTATGTTGATGTACTGGGATATCAATGAGAAACCTAACAACCTCTTAGTGTATTTAGGTAATGAAAGACGAATTTTATCTCAACTGTTATTTTTAGTCGAAAAGTACAGTAACTATTAAGACAGTAATATAAACAAATTATGTAAAATACAATAACAAAAAATATTCAACGTCAACTTTACCGACCAAATATATGGTAGTACCAATTATAAGAATTAAGCGATTTTGAAAGTTCCAAAGAATAAAAGGCGAATTGCACTTTATATTTAAGTGTTACTTTTACTTTAGTTAACATCTGTCAAATGTATATATTGCAAGTGTTAATTTATGCGGAATAAAAAAAAAACGATTTTCATATATTCATCAAGCACAGCACAAGTTCATATAAATCACAGTTTATCAATCTTTACTGTAATATATTGGCGGGGAAATGGTCTCTCTGCGAAAGGAACTAAGACTTATTTTACATTAAACTCGTTTCGCGTACCAGCGTCATGATGGAACCTGAGCACGTCATAATTTCAACTTAACGAAAAATAAAAACTGTGTCAGAAATTTGTGAATCGTTGATGTCTTTTACAAATGGTGTCAAAAAATATAAAAATTGTCTGTATTATCACTAAGTAGTAGATAGTAATTTGTTTTTTCAATTAAGTCTGCATAATTAAGTATGATTTTTAAGTTCTTAGCAATTTGTAGATACCATTACTCTACTGACTACATATCTGCGTGGAAGAATGTTATATTTATCATATATGATCAACTTTCCATTGACAATGTTTTATGTCAAAAAAATTAAGTTAAAACGTATTTTCACTACAATTTGTTATATGGATTGGTCCATATAATATAATTATGTAATAGTATAATATAAAAGTTTTATAAACTCTTATCAAACCGGAATAGAATTGTAGTCTAGGTAGTCCTCAAACTCGTCAGGCGTCGAAATTTCTAGAATTCCAGGTTTATGAGCCATTCAGACCAATACAGACTATTTTATTTTTATTTTTTTTCTATTGAGATATTTTATTAATAAATTCACGTTTGCCCGACGACGACGTTTGTTTTCCTTAGAAATGTTATGTAGTTTACTTATTTTATAGAATTACAAGCCTGTTCTGACGTTATTTTTTTTGTATAAAACCAGCCAAAAGTTAGTGATTTTGGGTGCACGCACCTTTTCAAATGAGGGCGCAGTTTTAAATTGCGATCATATTTACTAGAAGACTGGTTCGTAATAGTTAAATAAATTGCAAAAAAGTAACGCAAATATTACAAATAATTGTAATCTTTAAAAATCTCGTTTGCATACAAAGGATCCATAAGTTTATTAGGTCCGTATCTATTCTAGTAATATCTTATCTTTGGTACATTGTAAACTGAATATTGGAATCCTTTACTAAGTTATTGTTCGATACAATCATATTTGTTTTGTTTTTCGCTGAAAAAAGCGACAATGTTTGTGACTTTTTTAAATTACAAGGGAACAAGATTATAGGTTTTCCTATGCGTAAAATGCGGTTGGTTTTTGTCGTCTTTGTAATAAGGGGTATAGTTGGACAGGTCATTAAAAATATGGGTGTTAAAAGACCATTTATCGTTTCAGATAAAAGTCATATTAGCGAAAGTTAATGACAATTCTTTTACAATCGAGAATAGACGCATCCCTTACTCGTGCTAGCTTAATTATCGTTTCTTGGACCTATCTTAAAAAAAAACCGTAGTAAAGGCAAAGAATATAAAGGAAAATAATTATTATCAACATAATATAACAAAACACAACAAGACGACTAATTGTTGCCAAAACTTATGAACTGTACTTTGAAGAAGTAAAAACCGGCCAAGCGCAAGTCGTACTCGTACATGAAGGATTCCGTACCATTATCCACTAAAAAAGGAAAAAAAAACACGTATGTTGTTTTCTATGGAGTTGTTCGAAATTATTGGGGTAAAAATCATCGGTCGACTTTTACCCCAAAAATTTATAATTTGATTCTAACAAAAATTGGCTATTTAACGCATAATAAAACAGAAACAGATTATTAGATCGAAAAACGGCGTACCTACACCCCCAATGAACCCCCAGTTGGAAGACCTATGCAACGACGCCTGACGAAAACGAAAATATTATCCTCACTTTACATGTATGGTAGGTACCCTAAAAAATTTTGTTCGATATTTTTACTTTACATATGCCAAATAACATATTTCTAGTACCAATAGTTTTCGAGCTAAACCGCGGACGGACTGATGGACAGACGGACATGGCGAAACTATAAGGGTTTCTTGTTTACTATGGAATCCTAAAAAGGAAGGTTTGCATATTCTATTGACAAGCACTTAGATAAAGTCTTTGTTTGTGTTAAGTCGGGAATGACGGAAACTGAATTACGCGTGGGATTTGTCAATTTAGATATAAAGCGACCTTCTTAAGTAAGGTTACTATAACTCAAGATGCCGGTTTATCCTAGTTTAGGAGTTAGAGGTTTATGCTCTTTTTTATTGTTATTTAAGTATTTAAGGCAATATTATCTATACGTTATGATTAATTAAGACATAAGGCCCTAATTTATGTTCCAAATTAGAAAATTTGTACTGGTAATGTCGCTACAACTAATTGACGGTTATGTAACTGGATGTATGATGATTAAAAATTAATTAATTGTTACAATAATTAACATTGTCATCGCTCAAGTTTCAGAAGACTTCTATTGAACTTAAGAAACGACATTATAGCTATTGTAGTAATTTCGATACTTTGCAACGTTCATACTTTTAAGTCTTGACCCAACGTTTACTACCAAATGACAATCCGTGAGTGGAGAATAACGTTGGTGAGTCCAGCCAACGTGGTATTTTATTATACAATGTAGTCTACTGATTGGAAGAAGCTAAGAGGGCTCAGAACCATTTAAAAAATTAAATTTATAAATGTTCAAATTTATTTTTAATTACAAGAATTACTATAACGCGGTAATAAAAAAGATGAGGTTTAATGCTCATATAATCATTAAAAAAAATAGTTTCTCGCGTAAAGAAAAAAGAAATGGACTGTGGATCTAAAAACGAGTAAATTCGAATCCATTAGCTTTGATAAAAACAAAAACTAATTAATGCGAATTATTTTTCATTCGTACAACTCGTATCTATAGTCGAGTAAATGTAATTAAAAGAGTAAATGTCATAAGTTAAACAAATATTTTTGATAATTAAACAACAATTTGAATACAGTAAGAACAGTCAGTAGTTAATAGTTTTGTAACTTTTGAAAGTGCTATTGAAATTATTGTTTATTCGTTAAAAAGATTTACTTAAGTTAGTTATGACTTTAACTCGAGTAATTACTTCTGCTCGACTATGAATGCCATCACTGATAATAATTTTCACTATGTCAATCGAATGGTTATTTAACACGAACTGTGAGAATGAACTGCTCTACTTATTCAACAAGATTCAAGATGAAATGCTGTCAAGAAATAAAACTCGTATAAACTGATATATAATAATATGAGAAATTATATAACTTGTATAAGAAATATGTATATCGTTAAGTTTGAAGTAAACAATCACTATCTTATAAGCATAATACACAATAATGAAGCTCAATTAAAGTATATGATTATGTTAAACGGTCGTATGCAAAGATTGATAAGTTCTAGTGTATGCTTGTAATAAGTGCTTGAGAATAAGAATGAAGATTGTGTTTATGTATCTTGGATTCTAATTTTGTGAAAATTTTACATATTCAACAGATTAACTGGCATATAATAGTAATTTTATGTGACGGCTATTAACACGATGTCACATGAATTGGTCATTATGTTGTTTATTGAAATTATTGTATTGTAATTGAGACTATGTCACTTGTATGTCGGTCGCGGATGTCGTATACATAGAGTGCGTGACACTGTTGAGTATGAGGAGATCGTGTAGTGCGTCATAAAGCGAGTGATGTGAAGCACTTATGTCGGCAGCTGTCGGTCACGTCCTGGCGTGCGAAGGGGAGACGCGCGGGGCGGGTCTCACAGACAACTCTACAAGGCCGGGCCTGGAAACGGCCGGAGAAGGCATCCCAGCGCGAGCACAATGGAGCCGGCGCGCCGCAGGGGGAGCCTTCGCAATCGATATGGCGTCGCTAAGGTCCGTTGGCCGCTGCGAGCGGTTTGGAGCGCTGCAGAGGCGGATGCCCTCGCCCCGCGTTCCCCTCGCCCCCCGCTCGCCCACCACACCTGCTGTGTATTTATAGAGCGGCACAGCCGGCAGCCGGGGATGCAGGGATGTCGGCTACCACGGCCGTCGACTCGTACCTGCCTACGTGGCGTGTGTGAGACGTGCGCCGCCGCGGTGCGGCTGATGCCCGCCTGTTAATTATTTGTCACAATGGACATAAAAATAGCACGCGGTGTTTGAGAGCACGCAGATAATCTGCAGTGTTTTGCCAACGGGATACTAACATAGAAAAACATATCTTTCAGCATGAACATAAAAACTGATGTTAAAAACATAAACACACTTCTTGAGACATAAGAGACGCATACTCCTATATAAAGTACCTATCCAAAGAGATACAATGTTTTTTTATCAGATAGCTTCACGCATCAGATCGTATATCTATTATATGTAAA